ATCGGTACATATCCGGTCCGATGCTGTCAGATGGTGTGCTTACTCAGCTCGAGTTTCAAAACCTGGTGTTTAACCCACCCTGCTGACTCGGATATTCGAGCACTCGACATGACCACTACATAGAACGCGAAGGGTTTACATGAGCCAGATGACCAGATATATTCAGATTGAGGAGGCAGTGATACGAACATTCGCGCGATCGCTTCCTTCTGAATAAGCCCACCTGGCTTTACCGTACTGACTACTGACTGACCGGATAGAATGAATACTCCTGTGATAAAAGTAACTATACGGAATAGCCATGCGAGCTTCCTGCCGTCAACTCTGGGTTCTGCATACACAACTAGAATACCGAGATACACGCGCACAAGATCAGCCCATCTTCGCCCGCTTCGTGGGCGGGACATCGACCTCGGGCTTCTCCTCGTCTTCATCCTCCAACCATTCCGACTCTTCGTCGGCGGCTTGGTAAAGAGGACGCTTGAGTACCGTCGGCGCCATGCTGCACCGATGTCAACCTCGCGACCTGATAGACGTAAAAGAGGGTACATACTTCCGAGGGATTCGCTTGTAGATAGACGTGTACTCCACAGGCTTCATGAGCCTATGAACCTGAAAGTTCGGGTCGACTAGCTCGCGCCCGACGAAAACGACCTGCAATTTCTTGCGCGCGAAGCGAAGAAAACAATAAAGATATTGCAAGAGGTCGCGTTGACCGGGGTTATTGACACGAGATACTCTGTCGGTCAAAATGAGGTTTTGCAGCCCCGGACACGGGTCATCGCCGAGGGACGTTTCTTTCGGCATAGCGAGTACGGCCATGATGGGCATCGCGAACCCACACACATCCAGGGTCACGAGTTGCGGCAACGCTCGGAGCGCAGACCTGAGACCGAAGTCGGGCCATTCCCCTGACGCGTCGCTGGGGTCAGGAGGGAACTTAGATGTGTCGATCGCCATCTCGGTAATGATGTGATTGCCGTCTGCGAGATGCTTGACGACGTCTTTCATGATGACCTTGTGAGAGAGATTGCGGGATGTCCAGCGCCACTTGATCACGAGTTTGGGTTGGCTGTTCGTCTGTCCCGAGAAAGCCATCAACGTCATCTTGAGCGTCGTGGTCGACCGCGCAAGGAAGAAACTTAAACAGTTGATGTTGTTCGATGTAGCCAGACGCGCGCACAGCAGGCTTTGAACCTGACAGAGAAGATCGATGTCGATATCGGGGACGAGTCGCAGTTCGAAGGTATACGTTGCAGAGCTGGACGCCTGCAGACGATCGAGGAGCAGGTGCAAGGACGGCAACGACGACGAAGTGACGATGACGTTTTGGAGTGTCGGAATGCTCACGGCCGTCGAGCTCGAGGTCGCAATGTCATCGTCGCGGATGGGTGCGAGGTCCTGGACGTGAAGTTGTTCTAGACCTCTCGCGTTCCGTAAGGAGACTAGAAGGTCTTCCGCTCCTATGGTCTTGTACGTGCGTAGCGCCTTATTCTGCGAGGGCCGAAGGAACAAGGGAGTTGCCCGCAAGAGAGAAACTGCTCCGGCAAGTGTTCCCAGGAAGGAGGTTATGGGCAAGACACCAGACGCTTGTCCACGGCCAAAGGTGTGATGCGCAGGAGATGGAGACGACGGGATCCCAAGGAACGTTGTTGTGTATGTCCATCGAAGAGAAGATTGAGACAGGAGCTGCTGGTACATTGGCTCAGCGGGCAACGACGCGGGAGTTTCCCGATCCGTTGCAATGTAATGGCCTTTATCGACGACCTCGAGAGCGAAGTCGGGTGACGTAAGCGCCTGCACATTGAGGTTGACATCCAGATTGGGCGAAGTAGGGCTATGCGTTGACGCGGGTGACGAGCTGGAGGCCCTAACGGCACAATCGGAGCCCGGAGTAGCAGTGACATCCACGATATCCTGGATAGCGCTATGCGAAGGGGTCGTGGGTACTTGAGGGAGTTGCTCGGTTGCGACCGCCGGATCCTCGATAGGATCGAGTGTTGCGGGGGCCTCCACTTCGTGAACCGCATGAACCTGTCGCTCGAATTCAGTGCGAATGCGAGATGATACAACGTTAATAACGTACACTAGACTGCGTGTGCTCGTCCATAATAATGTCCTGACCCGAATCGGTATCCAAGGTAGGCGATGGGAGCGAATACGATGCGATGGGATGCAGTGCTGAAGTTGAAGAAGGCCCCGCGGACGGTGACTCGGTGACGTTGGCAGTGCCTCCCAGGTACTCTGGAGGTTGGCTCGCGAGTTGTCGGTTGGGCCTTCCAAATACGTGGGGTCGCCCCTGAACCCGGCCTGACTGCCCAAAGGCGGATTGGCGTACAGAGGCGGGGAGTTCATCCTGAGGATCATGTCAGGCTTTTGATTTGCACGGGTACATCGACAGACGCACTGTATTAACAAATTCAAGTTCCATAACGGGCCTAGACTCCCAAGGTTCGCGACGCTCCTCATATACGTCCTGGACGGCGCTGGTGAGCGAGTGTCTAGACAGCCAGGACGTGACTCACCTCTGTAGGGAATACTGCGAAGGGATTCGCCCCCAGTCCAAAGTTCTATGGCATAGGTCAGAAATACTGGTTAAGCAGCCTCGCAAGAATTTGCAGGCGTACCGGGACGAATAGCGGCCCATTGTTGCGGGATTCGCGGTTTGTGCGGCCCAAGGCTCGAGGACCGGGCACCTGCAGCGATCTGCCCGCAGAATATCTCCCCTACACGAGGTGAGCTAAGCAATTAGGAGCGAAGCGTACTAGCTCACCGACGAGTGCTTCCGCGCGGACGTCGAGTGCATCTTCGCCGCCGCCAATGGGAGTAAAGCCAAAGCGCCAACGAGAACACGGCCAAATTTAACCATAGCTTCGCATTGTTATATCAGCCAGTACTCTTGTTCACAATTCTGGTGCAGCACTCACCGGTCTTTGGCTGAAGGAGGTCTACCACAAAGAGAAGGAAGACGAAGGTTTGGGGTGTGCTGCCGAGGGGTCAGAGACGGGAACGCATTCAAGACTAGACCTGGCCGAAAGTGACTGACGCTAGGTTGTATCCTTATTCCTTAAGGACGGGAGATGGTGGTGTGTAGGAGAATAGCTCAAACGAAAGCCCGCCGCATCCGCTCCTCCTGCAACACATGGCATGTCAAGGCTTGACAGCTAAACCTGCATCGCCCTTGCAGAGAGCTGATGCATCGGCGCAGCCGTGAACAGACATTCCACCGTGCTGGAAGAAGGACATCGCATGCAATGTCAACCTGACGCTAAGCGTTGTGGATAGTCGGAGTCGTACTGTCGTAGTAAGGCGACGGTGAAAGCTGGGTGGAAGGAAGCCTGAGCAACGACTCGTTTGGCGCTCCAGACTTCGGGCCAGCGGACCGAACAACACGCGCGACATATCTTGCACTCATACAGCCATCTCCCATGGAATCCCATTGCCTACTACCACTACCACAGTGAACCTCGTCGTACGTGTCTCAGCATCATTCCATACGACGCATATCATGACTGACTAGAGTCATACACCAGGAAGCGCTCTTCGGTCGTACTCTGACTCCAGCTGATCTGCTGCGGCAGCACCAGCGTCGTTCGCCGAGCTCAACACGTCCTCGACCGCGAACAGCACAAGCTCGAGCTGAGCGAGAGTTCGGAATACGATGACTAGCAGGGCGATACGCAGCTGCGTTCATAGCATCACTACATTCACCTTGGCTTCAAGAGCTACCACGATGTCGCGCTCGCGGACCTGAAGAACGCGCGCGTGCTTTCACGCGCTCGCGAAGCGTCTGGTTACTTCACTGTGCTGAGCGACATCCACCGCCTTGCTAATCCTGAAGCTGGTGCACTCCAGAAGGCCGTGCAGACGTTCAGGAGCACCGACGTCGAGGTAAATTGGATGATGCGACTGTATAACTTATTGCGCTTGAAGCTGACGCGTCCCTCAAAGGACTACCAAGCCGGTCTACCCGTCGTTGCGTTCCGCTTCACCGACCAGTTCAAGGTGAATACGCTTTGTACACAATGGAATGGGACAGAGCGCTGATGCTTCCTTAAAAGACGGAGAACCCTGACATCCAGCAGAAGTGGGTACAGACCCTTCTCAGGGCCAAGGGCTGGATTGTACCGAACTACGAGCTCGCCCCGAACCTCGAACACATTGAGATCCTCCGCGTTGTCGTGAAGGAGAACTTCTCTGAGGTCCTCTGCGACCGCCTCGTCAGCGACATCGTCCGTGGCCGCCCCATTCATATATATCCTTCCCTTCGGACTGACCTTTATCTACAGGTTGAGATTGTCGAACAGCTGCTTGACTCTGAGTCGCCTGCACACGCGCTCAGCGCTCTTGGCGCGAACGCCCACAGGCCTAACAGCCACGAGAGCAAGCACGGCAACCTGAAGGACGAGGCTGAAGGCGTCTCATACAACGGCGCCTACTCGAAGCCATGCTAAACGCGAGATCCGCATGACGTTACTTGTGATTCCTGGTTTGGGCGCGGACTTATACGGACGATGAACACAAAGGAACCCTCGCATACTGTTGTACTTGTACTATAACCGCTATCGTCATGACTTTCTTTCGGTTCTCACTTCTAGCCATAATAACAGGACAATGTTGCAACAAGGTTAGCCAAGTAGTGAGGTTCCGTGGTCTTCAGCGCAATGAGAACCGTGAGTACGCAGTGACTGTACCACCTGGAGCGGCATACCCACGGCGCGCCGCGCCGCGTGATGGATTGGCATTACTGCTCCTTGTCCCGAGCCTCCACGGCGCCCTCATTATCAAGATGTCACACCACTACCCTTGCATACTTCTTTGATTGAGATGGAGAAGATTATTCTCCTTGCCCAGGCGTGTACATTGTACCCGTCAGGCAAATGCGCCAACACCGGCTTTTCTGGGGCGTTTTTTTCCGAGATTTATGTTGACGCGGCCTCGACACNCCGGCTTTTCTGGGGCGTTTTTTTCCGAGATTTATGTTGACGCGGCCTCGACACGGTCACGCGAGTTGCATAGCCCAGCGAGGAGGCGACGTCTCGAGCGGCAGAACCGCGTCGGATCTCCGTACGCTCTACGTTACCGCACCCGCTTCACGCTGTGTGTGGGGGAGACATGAGCTGACACAAGAATACACAGACTCACGTGACGCGACGATGTCTCACCCCTGAAACGCGACTTTGTTTATTGAAACGCAGAGCGACGCTGGATATAACCAGGCGCTGCGGCCGCCTCACTTTCCCCCATCTTTACCTTCCATTACCTTCCGTTTCCCGGACGAGCCCGCTCTACTTCGAGTGGGTCTTCGTGACATCGTGCGCGGGACAAAGCTTCGAGCGGTCCTGTCGCTCATCCGGGTGTAGCGGGGGAGTGGGCAATAGACGGATTGCCGTTGAGCCGCTCTTTCGTAACGATTGTCGTTGTTCCCTGCTCGGGGCGATCCTGGCCATGATCGTCCCATATGGGCCTCGCGCGGCTCCCAAGTCCTGAGCATGTTAGCGTCGCCATGCGCACCTGCCAGGACGTAAGGGCTGTAGCGGACTTCTCCTTCGCTCTCATGCGAAGGGTGGCTGGGCGGTGACGCTCTCCCCTCGCTTCACTTTGGCGCTTTCTCGCCATTCTTTCATTTCCCTTGCTACGGACCCGCACCACTTGGGGCGGCCACCCGTATCGACGCGCATGTCTTGCCATGTCCCGCTGCGCGATTCGGGCCTTTGTTATTCTTCCCCGGACGAACCCGTTCTCCTTTGAGCGGATCTTCGTGACATCGTGTGCGGGACAAAGCTTCGAGCGGTCCTGTCGCTCATCCGGGTGTAGCGGAGGAGTGGGCAATAGACGGATTGCCGTTGAGCCGCTCTTTCGTAACGATCGTCGTTTCCTTTGCCCGAGGCGGTCCTGGCCATGACCTCCTCACATGGGCTTCGCGCGGCCCCCAAGTTCTGTGCTTGTAAGCGTCGCGGTGCGCACCTGCCAGAGCGTAAGGGCTGTAGCGGTGTTCTCCTTCGTCCCTGCACGATGGAGGCTTGTATATCGGCTGGACGGTGACGCTCGCCTTTCGGGCACATCTTGCAGCGAGCCGCACCGCTTTATACCTATTTGCTTACGTCGCCACTTCACTTCGCAGGCTCTCCTTCACTGTGGCATTGGCCCGCGGAGTCGTCTATATGTTTTGTGTCCTCACCCTTCATGCTGTTAACTAATCGCTAGCCTCAGTGTCCATGCCACGCTCTCTTAACAGGCACCGCTCTCTGGCGATGAGTGTTCAGATATTAATGCATTTTCTTTTTACGACGCCTCCCTGTGTCGATCTGTGTACTCTTATTTGATGAATGACCATACTGATTAAGTGCCGTTTACCTTCCGTGGTCGAGTGTCGTCAGCATTTGCACATGAGATGTCTTCGCCAGTCAGCGTGATTTTATTTTTGCTCGTCTCTTTTCCGGTTATCCGCTCCGAGGTTGCTGCCTGAGTCGCAGATTGAAGGCTCGAGCGGTGAAAATCTTGCACATTCGCGCACGCCGTCGTACTTTCTAGCATCACACACTAAAGCCGACAACGGATACACAAGAATGTACCGCGTCTTGCTTACTTTGACGAATCTTTCACCCCACCGACGGCACGTCGCAAGCTCAGCTCCACAACAAGATCCAAATCGTATATCAGAATACATAGCGAATACATTGGCGAGACCTTCGCAAACAAGAGGGGAGTACGTGAATAGAGTGGTAGGGGTGTTGCGCTATGGGGTGTGCGTGCAGGTAACACTGCCGTCGAAGCGAGCGGGTCGATTTGGTAAGCTCAATCCAGTTTGGGGCGCTTTGATGACGGCCCGGAGTCTTCGGCGGCCATGCAGACGTAACCAGCTGCATCCTTATAGGCATTCCGGTCGCTTAGTTCGTATATTGGACGCGGGAGAACCGAAGGAGCCATGCTATAACGCAGTAAGCGTCGGGTAGAAGATAGAGAGAATGTCTGCGCACCCCTGTGGCAGGCTCAAAAATTGGGCCTTGTGTGCCTCCAAAGACAAGCACTCTCGTAGTCCGATAATCTTTTGATCGGCGGCACGGATGAGTTCACGGCCCACAAACGTCGTCTTAATATCCGGGTAAGCCCAACGGAGAGCCCAATAGGCCCGCTTGAGGACAGAATAGCGCGAATGGGTGGCGACGATCGTCACGGAGTCCTGGATTCGAAGCACCCGTATCGAGTCAGCTGGGCGATCGTTCTCGCCGGCCGGTAGGGACAATGTAGCAAGCACAGGTAGGGCAAAGCCGCGAACGTCCACGACCTCGAGGTGGATCGAGCGTCGGATGATCTTCTCCAGGCCAGAATCGGGCCAGTGGGCCGCCGTTGGTTGCGGGAGAAAACCGGCGGTATCGAACCATAGACTCGTAATGTGATGACCAGCGCTCGATAGTAGGTCCACGACGTCTTCGACGATCATCTTGTGCGATACGCCTACGGCAGCCGACGTCCAACACCACTTGATGGTGAGTTTGGGATCCGCCGCAGGATCGGTGGACGCCACGAACAGAACCTCTTGTAAGGGTGCGGTGCAGGACTGTTTGAGAGTGATTCCGATGTGCGTGATTCCGTCCTCCGTGAGAAGACGCGCCAACATATGAGCGTGGGCGTGCTTGCATACAGTAACGTCGATGTCGCGGCAGAGAGTGAGCTCAAACGTATGAACGGTCTGAGATGAAGCAGCGATGGCACCGAGGAAATGGGTCAAAGACTCCGGACAGGACGCCTTCATGAAGACCCTTTTCAGCGCTGGCAGACATATCCGCGTCCCATCTCTCTCAAACCCGGTCGCGCGAGTAGGACTCTGGGGGGCGAGATCGTCGATGTGCAGGTCCCTGATGTTTGGAGACTCCTGTAGTGCTTGGAGCAAACTCTCGACTTTGACGGTCTCCGTCCGTATGAGTTTCGTCGCCGCCTCGGGATCGTGAGATGGTCTGATGAACTTCAGGAGTCCGAAGCCGCCTGTGATCCCTTTGAGCACGGCTCCCGTTGACGCCCAGGACGTGCTGCGCCCACATGCGACGGATTCCGTTACCGGTATAGCCGGTGCTGGAACGCCAGTCGGTGATGATGGCGGAATCGGTGTCTTATCGAGCGCCTGCGAAGCGTCGACAGTTGCCTGTGCTGTGTCGATGGCAGTACCGCGTATGTTCGACTGGTATACGGTATCGTCGGTATCGCGCGCTTCAAGAACTTCGAGGGAGACAGCCTCCGGTTGACAGTCGGGAGTGGTTGGAACACGGATCGGCGAGCCCTGTTCGCGATGCGGGGTCGATGGGAGAATCGACGCAAACCTAGCGACGGACACCTCGGAATAGAAGGGAGACCCTTGTTGGGTCGTAGTGGTGCGCTTGCGCTTGAACGAGACGTTGATCAACGGACTAGCGTCTCGGCCGCTTTCGCACGGCGATGTAGGTCGGCGAGTCAGGATTGGCGGCGTGAAGTCCAAGGGATAGTCACCATGAATGATGAAACGCCTCTCAGAGCCAGAAGAGGCAGTGTCCTCCGTGCGGCGGAAGGGATTACTAGGCGAGAGACCTGCAAGAGATGCGATGTTCCCCCTGTTCTCCGGCAAGTGCGGCATCGGGGTACGTCCAAGGACAGGTGCATGATCGTTAAGGTTACGCGACTGCATCCCACGGGTAAGAGAGGCGGTGTCCTCCCTGTTCACCGCCGTATGCGGCGGTGGGGCACGGAGGAGGGGGTCAGGCGAAAGACCGTCGCGAGAGGCGATGTTCTCCCTGTGCTCCGGTGTGGGTGATATAGACTCGAAGTCAAAGTACGATGCAGCTATCGATCCACTTGAGCGAGAGCGTAGCAAAGGAGCCGCGCGCGGAGAAGGCGGGGTTCTTGTGCCTTGCCGGGGCTCTAGGGAGGTACTCGGACAGTTCACGGAGACCACCTGGATCTAGTATCAGCCAAAGAGTACTTTTGGGCGATGATGAAGGTCGTTCACCTCATCGCTGCGTGTTGCGCGGGATGCTCGTGGCGCTGTGACGCTCGTGCGCCGAGGTTGCGGCGATTCAGCACCGATTGAGCCTGTAACGGTGGCGTTGCTCGTTTGTAATGTCGTCCGCATAGGCGCAGGGATGTCCTTTGTGGACGCGGGCATACTCCTCCGGAGAGTAGATCTCGTTGCTGTCTAAATCATCAAAGACGATGTTAATACGTCTTGTTGAACCAACCGGACTATCAAGGACATACGTGCGAGAGGCCACTAGGTACATTAAGCCCAAATTTAGGCACCTGAGTGGAGTCCGCGATATCATCGCTGGAGGACAGAAGTTCCTGATCAAAACAACTCAGTGAACTAGTCGTACGGTGTTAAGCGAGATATATACACACTTCATACATCTTAACCCTTGGGCGTATAGACTGTACCCTAGCAAGGCTTGGCGAAGAGAAAGTCTTGCTCGATTGATCAACACGGGATAACGCTGGGTTCTTCGCGGACACGTCGTTCTTCAATGACGGCCTGGCCCGCGCCGGTGGGATAGCAGTAGCTTGAGAGAGCGGGGCATGGTGGCTAGACGACGATGGATCTCCGACGAACATTGCTCGCGCAGATAGGGACTGGGGGCGATCGCAGGTCAACGCCTTGGCCTTTCCCTTGCTCTTGGAAGTCTCGGGAATAGGCACGGCCATATCGTCCGTAGTTGTTGAGTGACGAGAGTATTCAGCGACAGAAGGGCCATGTGTAGTGTTGGAACGTGCGCGTCTGGGCAATCGAGTCTGCGAGGAATTGGACGGTTGAGTGAGTGCAGCGGCACGGCTTCCCGATGGCCCATTCGCGGCCTATTGGACGTCTGAGAACGTGCACGTCAAGGAGTTCATAACAGTTTTCGCGCATACCTTAGTTGTACGGGTGTTTACCGCGATGGGCCGCCCTTGCTGGTTGAATTCTGGGTCGTCGAAGTCGAAGTCCTGCGGGCATCAGGATTTATCAGAAACATATCGAGCGGATATTGGATGGAGCTCACGAGATCTTCATCTGGCGAAAGCTCATGCTCGGAATTCGGAGGAGCCTGCCTTTAGATGAGCTGGATGGAAATGAGAGGGAGGGTAGCAACATACGGAACGAAACCCCTCCAGCGTCGAACCGCGCCTCAACGCAGGCGCCTCCCGGGGCAATCTAGCCGCCGAAGGATGTGATGGGCGATACACTTTCCTCTACAAGTAGTGAGCACTGTGAAGTAGCGGTGCATGCAAAGTGTTTACCGGGTAGCGCGTTTGGGTGGACGAAGTCGCAGGTGGTCGCTCGGGCGGGAGAGCCATGCTGAGCCTGATGGTGTAGAGTTGATACTGGTGGGGGCGGGAGATCTGCACAGAAAAATAGCATGAGCCAAGATTCGCGCGTAGAGGCAATAGTACGGGCATACTGTGTGTGGCGTATAGGTAAGACGGAGTAGAGTGTATGTATCAAGGATTCGAGGCTAATGTACTCCATGTCAGACAGCCAAACTCGCGCCAAGAACTGAAGGCCAACCTTCAATCCGCGTTCTGAGTGGTTTTTGAAAGTGGGTAGCGCACAAGTAGTGGTGGTAGAGAGCAAGGCCAGCATAGGTATCGCAGGGTCCTATTTGACATGTTGAAAGTCGAACTGGAATGCATGTTGGTGGTCTAGCTGCTGTCGGTTGTCGCGCATTCGTTCGTTCGGGCTACAGCTGCTGCAGCGAAGTCCGCAGTAAGACCATCTTGTTCAGCGGATACGATCGGTTGCTGCTTCTCCTGTTGTCCGGCGAGGGTCATGGTCGTTCGGTCTGAGCGTCACTTGTGGCCGTTGACTTGGGGAGGCGCGGGTGATCGGTGATCGTACGTCTTGATCTAGCCTCCCTTGCAGGCTTTATCGGTGATCTTGTTGGTGGGGGAGGACGATCACCTGATTAAAGCCTGCAACTCGACGCGCCACCCTTACCGGTGCTCAGGAAAAGCCCCGCGAG